CGAGCAACAGAAACCAAATCATTTTGACTTTTTAAAGGCAATATAAGACATGAAAACTTTTACATCATATTTTTTTGTCCATTGATTTGTTGGCGAGTTCTGGAGATGTCCAGTAGTAACTGGTTGTAACTGGCCCTGAAGCCAATGACAGGAACCTGAGCAAACCATCTGAAATACTTTAAAATCAAATTTCACATTTGAACTCTAAAATTATGATTGTGTTAATTTCTTATAGCTTATTTTTTTCCAGCTGGTTATGGGCCTATAATACCAGCAGTTTCTTTCAGGTTACAGGTTACCTGCTAGTGACCATTATTTGAGTTCAGAATTTTGATTTGAAATTTTGTTCGATTAATTCTGGAAACCTGCCTGATCAATAGTCCAGCCCAGCGGACAGGTATTTCTACAAATATCGGTTTTTAAAACGTTGGTATGTACTTGCAGTGAAGGAAAAAATGTCTTCAATGTGGCAAAAATGAAAAGTATCTATTTCACCTGAAATAACAAGATTGTGATCTGATGTTATTAAGGTATTGTCGAATTAGTTTTAGTTGTGCCTCTTTCATATATCCGACAATATGTTTAGTCGAAATATAATTAATATGCCTTGATTGCACAATATCCAGGTTGGCATGTTTTTAGATGGAGTAGTTACTACATAATGGAAGGTCAATTTAGAAGACATATGTCTTGAACATCCAATCGGTCATGCTCCAATTATTCTTTACCTTTTTTATACTCCATGTAAGACAATGCAGCAATGTAATTTCAAAAGTGAGCCACTACTAGAAAAATCTTTTTTCATACCGTTACCCTTTTATTTTTACTAGCAGGTTTGATAAAAATGTGCTTGTGAAAATAAATGAGAGGGATTCCGGTTACCAACCGTTAGCGAAAATCAATTTTCACTGGTGGTCACTTAAGAGCTCCACTTGCAAAAATAGAGGTATTTTTGCAAGCGGAGCTCTTAAGTGACTGCTAGCGAAAATACAATTTCCTTAGCGGCTGTCGAGGACCACCATCTACAAAAATACTTTCACTATATTAAAATGACCACCGACTGTGACGAATCCATCTCTATCTCCTCCTCCTCCCGGATTCAGCGCCTCGGAGACAACTCCTCCTCTCCGCCTCCTCCCTTCTCCCTCTCCTCCTCCTCCTCCTCCTCCTCGGTGAGCAGCGGCAACTCCTTCTCCTCTCCGGCCGCCTCCTTCCTTCTCCCTCTCCTTCTCCTCAGCGAGTAGCGGCGCTCCGGGGTTGGCGCGGTGACGGGCGGCCGGCGAGTGGCGCACGGTCTTCTCCCCACCGCGGTGGCGGGGGCGCGACCTCCTCCTCTTCGCCGTGCCACGAGCTCGGGGCCGGATCCGCCGCCGCGACGAGGGGGGGTGGATCCGCTGCCACGACGACGGGGGTGGCCGGTGTAACATCCCGGCCAAGGGCTTAATAGGATTAATAGAATACTCATATTAACAAGTTGCAACTTCTTTTAAGCCAATCTTCTTTTAACTTCTTTTTTTTAACTTCTTTTCCGGAAGCCAATCTCTAAAAAACTCTAAGGCTAAGCGTGCTTGGCCTGGAGCAATTTCGAGATGGGTGACCGACCGGGAAATTCTTCCCGGGTGCACACGAGTGAGGACAAAGTCTGCAGAAAAGACTTTTGTTGGTATGTGAGGAGGGCAGCGACGGTGGTGGTTGGGAGAGGCGGGACGTTACGGCCGGATCCGTCGCCGCGACGACAGGAGAGGCCGGATCCGCCGCTGCGACGACGGGGAAGGTGGGATCCGCTGCCACGACGAGGGGGACGGCGGGATCCGCCGCCTCGACGACGGGGGAGGCTGATGGGGAGGGCAGCGACGGTGGTGGGAGGGTGGGCGCGGATCCGACGACATCGGTGCTCGGGCGGTCCTGCACGGTGGTGTAGGAAGTGGGTCCGGTGGCGGCTGCCACAACGACGACGACGGCTCCCGCGAGAATGACGATGGTGGCTACCATGACGATGACGACATCGGCTACCGTGACTCCAACCCCTCCCCTCTACTGCCTGGCGACCACGGCGTGGACTTCGGCAGGCGGCGGCCACGGCGAGGTGTCGCGACGGCCACTGGCGGTGCTTGCGGTTGTGGCAGTCGACGGCACCATTTTGAATTTTTTTTATCCCAAAAATTGTTTTCACTGGCGGTGCATTTTATTTTGCCGCCATTTTTACTAGCAGTTGTCTTAGCATAACCGCTTGTGAAAACGCATTATTTTCACTGGCCTTTAGGCACTGGTGGCACCTCTGGCCGCCAACAAAATCATGTTTTTGCCACCAGCAAAAAGCCTTTTTTAGTAGTGAGCACGCCAAACCTAGATTTCAGTCCATAGGCAAGATGCTTACATACAAGTGTTATTTCATCGAATTTGATGTCCAACAAAATGATTGGCTCTTAAATTGATGAATTATGTTACATTGTAATAATGTTTGACATACTTGGTGGTTTGTTCAGAGTATGCAAGTTTTAAGTATGGTTTAGATTGTGTTATTTTGCTTTTACGATTCATTGTTGCACATATTTCTTAGTATAATCTGAATATGGCAAGTTAAGATACCTAAACAAGTATTGCAACCTTAAAATAGGTGAGTTTATACCACTGGGCTGCTAAATTATACTCGTTATTGCTAGAAACAAGGTTGCAAAAGGTCATTTTTTTGGTCTAAAAAGGTCCTTATATGTGTGTGTGTGTGTCAAGGATTGATGTGTTATTATCGTACATGTTTAGAGATGGAATTCTGAACATTATATGCTCATATTCGTAATGGAAGGGCTGCATGTGCTTAGATACCAAAAAGTGGGCAACTTTTGTCTTCAAGCGTTTGATACATCTCATTTTTGTCCTTGGATTCAAACCGATCGAGTATTGGATAAAGAGCTGAGCTAAAAACAAAAGGTACTACCTCCATCCTAAAATATAGTAACTTTTAGCTATGAATATAGACACACAGTTGTCCAGATTCATAGCTAAAAATGCTTATATTTTAGAATGGAGGGAGTAAAAGTTTGTCCTTTACAAAAGATAAATAGTGAAAACATAGAATAAATCTAGTATAAAATTTCTAAGTGTGTCACAACCAGTTAAAATATTAATTACATCCAATTAGTTAAATCAAAAGCTAGCACACGAAATAAAAAAAAATACTCCATCCGTCCCAAAATATAATAACTTTTAGCCCAGGATTTGTCCCAAAATATAACAACTTCTCCACAAGCATTCTCTTCACAACCAATCACAACTCTCCACCATTCACTTTTCTCAGCTACTTCCACTACTCATCCAATCACAACCCTCCACTACTCACTTCTACCTACTTTCTTAATAACCGTATGCAACTCTAAAACATGTTATATTCTGAGACGGAGGGAGTAGGATTTTACGCTGCCCTAACGAGATATCCACACTACTTAAAAGAAGTCATTTTATGGGTGTTTAAATCGGCATTTGCACATTCGTTTAGCCAACCGCCTATAGAAATGTTGCATTTCCACAAGCGGGAGAACAACTGCATGTTAAAATTCATTTTTAGAAGCAATTGTTTATTAATAATTTTTTTAGAGGCGGTGGTCATATCCTCTCCATCAGCAGTTCAAACTTCAAAATAAACAAAATTTTCTATTTATAATTTGTATTGTATGATTACATGTGTATATTATGAGGTATTTAACTATTTGCCACTTTTATGATGTGACAATTAAGCATTTGCTACTCTTAGTCTATGACATGTGAGCCCCCATATGTTTATGTTATATGAGTCTAATGGCAAATAGTTAAATATCTCGTATATTGTAGACCAACACACACAAATGATAAGCTTTCATTTCCAAATGACACCAAGAACTCAACAAAGGATTCATCATGATATTCATGCTGGTATATTGTAATGTAGCTAGACTGTAGGAGTGCGATATTTATGGTGAATTGTTGATGGATAGATAGGGACCATGCATGCAGTACAAAGATGCTAGTACATGTCATTGATAGCTTTGTCATGTTATCTTTCTTTATGTGACTTTTGCACAACTAATAATAAACCCAATCCACTTTATCTCCATTCATGACTGGTTATCATTTTAGTGTTTTATTCAGCTAAAATAACCATGCGTAATACTACTTTATCTGTTTCAAAATACAACAATCTATTGACATACATATCTAAAATTGGATGTATTTTGGAACAGAGGGAATAGCTGGTTATTTTCTCCTTAGCTATTGAAATGTTGTGCTATCTTGGGTTGGCTGCAACTGCTAGTCTGCTAGGACGGGGAAAGGAAAGGATATTCCTCACCCTGGGTACCGTACATTTGGAATATGTCCTCATGAACTGCCTTCCTATGGAACTTGGTACCTTTCCTCTCTTCTGATTTTGCTACTATCTAGAGTAACCTTTCTCCCCGGACAGGTATATTCCTGCACTATACTTGTAAATGGAAACTCAAAGAATAAATTATTTCGCTATCAAATCCTATACATCGTTTTCTATCAGCATAAGCTTTATGGTCTGTTAATAATTTTCGTGATAAATAATATATGCAAGTTGTCTTAGCTTTTTTTTATCAAGTTTATACATGCCACAAAAGAAAAAAAAATGTACTAACATATACTCACTCCGTAAAATAAAAACTGAATTAGTATGGTATGTCCAGATTCGTTATATTAGGATGTGTCAAATCTCTATATACGATTTCCAGGTCCAAGACCCGGCTTGAGATTGGGCCACGTGGCGCTACCAGCATCCAGGATTGCCTCCCCTAACATCGTGCCACGTGGCCCTCCTCATCCGCTACTCCGCCCAGTCCAAAAAAAAAAACATTCAGGCGAAGCGATCGAGCATTCGAGAGAAATCGTCACTGGGGAGAAACCGTTAGCGCCGGCATCACCTTTCACCCCCGCTGCCGATCTCCACCAGTCCATCACCGCCGAATCAAGAACAGCAGATTGCATGCATCGAGCTCATCCACCCCGCATCAATCAATCCCAAATCAATCCCAATCCCAGATCAAACAATATCACAGGAAACATTTAAAAATATCACAGAAATCTTTCACTAAAACATTACACAAGAATATCTAAAATCTAAATAATCGTCTCGCCACCGGGCAGCCACCGCCTCCCGCTGCCACGCCGCCACCGCCTCCCGCTGCCGGGCCGCCACCGCCTCCCCTCTCGCCGCCGGATCTGGCGGAGGGGATGGCGCCGCAACCGGGCCGCCGACGCCTCCGCCGGATCAGAAGAGAGGGGGAGGGGATGAGAAGGAGAGGGAGTGAAAGGGCGCGCCGCTGCCGTGGGGCGCGTACCCGGATCCGCGCGCTCGAGCGGCCGCTGCCGCAGGGTCCGCGCTCGTGAGCGACCGCAGCCGCCGCCACCGCCTCCTCCATCCGAGGCCGCAGCCAGCCCCACCACGCCGTCTCGGCCTCCACATCGCACGGAGCCGCCGCACGGCCTCGTCCTCGACGTCGCCCGGCCACGACGCCTACGGCCAGCCGCAGCGCCTCACTGGCCTCCGCACCCGCCGCGCCGCCGCCGCCGCCCGTCCGGCCTCTGCACCCTCTGGCGCCATCAGGGGAGGAAGGGGAAAGAAAAAGAAAGAGAAGGAAGGAAAGAAAGATAAGGAAGAAGGAAAGAAGAGAATAGAAGTCATAGCGTCTCACCGGCCTCCGCACCCGCCGCGCCGCCACCACCGCCCGTCCGGCCTCTGCACCCTCTGGCGCCATCAGGGGAGGAAGGGGAAAGAAAAAGAAAGAGAAGGAAGGAAAGAAAGATAAGGAAGAAGGAAAGAAGAGAATAGAAGTCATAGCGTCTCACCGGCCTCCGCACCCGCCGCGCCGCCACCACCGCCCGTCCGGCCTCTGCACCCTCTGGCGCCATCAGGGGAGGAAGGGGAAAGAAAAAGAAAGAGAAGGAAGGAAAGAAAGATAAGGAAGAAGGAAAGAAAGATAAGGAAGAAGGAAAGAAGAGAATAGAAGGAAAAAATCTCCATATATTTTGCAAAAAGGCCCTTGTGGTTTTCGAAAATTAATCGCATATTCCTCCGCATTGGAAACTTTGCGTTTCAAACCCTGACATTTCTAGAAAAATATATAAATGACCCTCTGTATTTGGAATATTTGTTTGAATGACATTGTAAATTTGTAAAATGCACTTAAATTATATTTCAGATATTTATGATTATAAAATTTATTAATCGCATTTATGATTATTGATTATTTGTAATGCTTTTATTATTTTTAATTAATATTGCAGTAAAATATATATAATTACGTAAAATATATTGGAATTATTTGCGGGAATTTTAACCAAGATGACTGATATCGCGAACTAGAAGTTTGTTGAATCTATAGTATATCAGACATATACATTCAATATCGAAATTATAATGGACCTAGAAGCTCAATCATATCATCAAACCAAGTGTTCTGTTCACTAACTCGATGTAATTGAGCAAGCACTTCTATCTCTTGTCGGTACGTCCAAGCTACTATGATGAATGAGTATGCTAAGTGGATAGCAGTTTTTGAATATTATGATGCACCCTATCACTCATAGAACAAGAACTATGAGAAATAATGAGTATTTTCGACTATGATTCACTGAGCAAATAACCTATATAGTATGGTAGTACGGTGCACCAAAAACTGTAGAAACTCTCGATGATTCTACCCGAACTCGACAAAAGTCACACGAAAATATCACTAGGATTACATGTACTTCTTTTTTGCAATTATTGTTTTATGTAACATATTTTAATTATAGAATTAAATTTGCAATTCTTAGGTTTTATACAATATATTTTGTAACATATTTTAAAAACATGATTAGATTTAACCAAATAATTGTAGTTTTGTGACATTTAATATAAATACAATCATTATATTACGTATATACAACTATTATATTTTTTTTATTAATTAATGTAACAATTTCTATGCGATCAAAGCAAATACCGTATTATTTTCAAGCTATCTTTATAATAAAATAGATAGATTGTTTTCACCCGTTGAAACGAGGAATAAAATGAAACGTGGATAGAAAAAAAAACAGCAAGAGAGGTGCCGTTTGCTTGATAGGTTGCCCGCAACTAATTTTATCAAGTTCAAATTTTGCTCTGCCATGAGGCAATGGGCATCAAATTAAAATTTTCTATATAATTCATGTACATATATCAAACTAAAATTGTGCTAAATGATATGCGTACGCACCTCTAATGGGTAAATTATGATTTTTACACACCCTGGGTAAAAATTATGCAGAGGATAAAAAAAATGTCCAGTTCTACCAAAACAATTTTGCTGAACTTTTTCATCTCAAAAAATTTAAATTTACAAATAGGCCCTTGGTTTGGAGTATTTATAAATGGCCCTAAGGTAAAACTTATTAATAAGTAGGCTATTTTTTTTATAAGTTGGACAACTAATTTTGTTATGTAATTCATGTGCATATATCAAACTAAATTTTGCTATGTCGTGTGCATAGGAAACTCTATTGGGTAAATTATGATGTTTCCACATACCCCCCTAGAGATAGAGATATACACTAAATATTATGTAAAGGAAAAATATTCAGATTTGTGATTTTTTTTTTTACAAAAATACATCAAATTTCCTTATGATATTTGGAAATACTTTAATCTTCGATAAGTTAGTACAAAACTAAACTCTCTATCCTAAATAAATTTTACGAGAATTGAACTAGCCGTTCTGACAATTGTGTAAAATTATTGTGTTCTAAATAAACCAGAAAATATGTACAATCTATTTTCCATGAGTTTTAAAAACAAATAAAATTGACAAAATTGAAAATTGTAGAAAAACTAGAAAACTAATAAATATATGTTCTAAATAAGTCATAAGTGTTATATACACGTTATAAGTAATAAACGCGCCAACTGGCAGGCCATTTTCTAGTTCAATACTAGATTGATTTTTTATGGGACGGAGGGAGTATGAATGAAGTAGACTGAGGCTGTGTTTAGTTCCCTTTAAACTTCCAAAAATCCGTCACATTAAATGTTTAGACAGATGCATGGAGCATTAAATGTGGACGAAAAAAACCAATTGCACAGTTTATATGTAAATTGCGAGACGAATCTTTTGAGTCTAATTACGCCATGATTTGATAATATGGTGCTACAGTAAATATTTGCTAATGATGAATTAATTAGGCTTAATAAATTTGTCTCGCAATTTACATATAAAATCTGTAATTTGTTTTGTTATTAGTCTACGTTTAATATTTTAAATGTGTGTCCGTATACTTTAAAAAAAATTTGAAGGAGGAAATAAACACGGCCTGAATTATCTGGGAGCACTGGGGCCGTAGCTTTTCAGAACATCACGTCAAGTGAAAATTCACTGCGAAGGCATTCATTCCTACCTCGGCCAAAGGTATCATGTTTGTCAATGATTCTACCTTTTTTTGTTGTCATGTGGTGGACTGGTAGTGGTCCTCTTCGTAATTAACATCTCACAGTTTGAAAGCTCCACATCATTATTGATGTATGTAAAATGTTGGGGGAATTCTGGCATGTATACATGGTGCTATGTTGGTGCTTTTCTAGAATCCAAACAATGTATGTTAATATATATTCTACTAATGCCGACTAGTCCATGTGTGATCCTAATATAGGAGGCCACAGGTAGTCCTAAACCTACAATGAAATTTGGTACAACGGAATTTCAAAATCCTCCAGTCATCGATCAAATTGTAGTTCTTGGCAGTTGTTGGCACGCAGAAATGAATCTACTGACCAAAAATCCTTGGGGTGGAGCAGTCTTGATATTTTGATACTCCCTCATCCTTAAAATATAGCAATTTAAAATAGGATGAGACTCAACCTAATACTACTATGAATCTAGATAGGGGGTCTATCCAAATTAGTATATAGTATGTTATATTTTAGAACGGAGTAAGTGTATTTTACTATCCTTAAGAAATGTGAGTTACCGTATTTTTTTCCTAGTGAATTTTGTTATATTGTGTTACATACTCAGCTTTAAGGTGTCATCATAAAGGAAAAGACTTACTAAATCATTCTTACCGACACCAATATATCAAGCTGTGACCTGTGAGTACAACTTTTTTTTTGTAACTCCCATAAATTTAAATCAAATGGCTAGCATGGCTAAATCCTTGGGATATAACATTATTATAGTTGTCCTGCCACATTGGCAAGAAAAAATATACGAAAAGAAATTTCATGCGGTTCTGTTTTCAAATTTTATTTAAAGAGTTGTAGAAATGAAAAAAAAAAACGAACAGTTAAGTAACTCGTGGATAACTACTAGCCTGAAATATCAAGGATTGCAAATTGGCAAATCTTCGTGATGACACACTTTTTGAACCACATAGATAGATGACATAATTACCTAATCGATCAACTACTACCAGATGGAGTACCAGTACCATCGCTGCAATATGGAATAGGTCAAATGTAACGATCACCTGGAGTCCTTGTCTGTTCTGCTTCTCTATATCGTGCACTACTAGTTACTTATATGTCAATTGGTCCTATAGTTAACCCTACAATTAGCAGAAAAAAGATAGTGGCAATTCTGAACTTGGATTTAAGAAGAATTATAACTAGATTACATTTTTAGATAATGTTAACCAGTTTACATAGCAGAAGAAAACTAAAAGATATATAGGGGTGTTCCTATGTAGTGTTTTCCGACGTCACCGGACCCCGGGTAAATTATTTAATTCTAACTAATTTATATCATATTAATTAATATATTAGATAATTAATATGTATTGGATCTCCAGTATTTTTTGTTCTGGGTTCACCAACGAAGACATATATCCCAACCTAACAGAATATTGTATATTACCTTCATACTAAAATATAAAGGATTTTGTCTATATAGGTTACATGGAGAAAATCTATATTTCAGGACAAAGGTAATATAACTTTCTCCTTTGTGTTCACTACTGTTCAGAAACAAAAAGGATTTAGCGTTCATATATGCATGTGAAATTGTATAGCTGCTATGCATGTCAATTTGCATATTGAATAACAGATTTGACTCTGAGCCACATGATCTCTAGCAGCCAAGACAAGCTAGCCTCACATGGTCCAACAGAATAATTTTTGTACGTCAATTCGATTCGTTATGCTCAGCAGCTCCAACAAGTTCTAAAGTTTTTTGCTGCCTCAAACTCTGCCAAGAAAGCGCTGCTTTACGTTTGATCCTATGTGCCCAGAGAACGCAATGCGTTCTCCACTTTCGGATCTCGCAAAGAGAAAACGTCTTTTTTCCGATTTTTGGCATGCCAGCAAGCGGTTGAGACTTTCGTTATTCCAAATTTACGAAAGGAAGGCTTAGTCTGGAAAACCATGCTCTTGGTGCCTGCTTGAGACCATAGAGTGCTTTATCTAATTTACACACATAATCCAACTTTAACTTGTATCTGCTTAGGACTATCTGACTTATCATATTTGCATCGAGATTAACTTTAGATTTTGGACGAGACCTACTTGTTTGCTGTTTGGATTCCAACTTTTTTCAATAATTGACAGAATTCTTTACATCCATAATAATTTATGTTTCCAATAATCCAAGTTGTTTATCAAACCCGCAACTAACTAGCTAATTGCAGCATATTCAATATGACTCTGGGATATTAATTGGAACCTACACACATCAGAGCGTAAGTCGTGGTGTATAATGGAGGACCGTGTCGTCATCACCTCAACTGTTAGGTGTTGAATATAAAACGCATGACACGTAGGCACGTAAAGTGATTGAGCCCTAAAGTCAGAACATATATTGTTTAAGCCGTTGAGGCCACGTAAGAGAGCTGCAGCCGTTGATGAACAAGTCCTGGCCGGTGTTCGCAGCCAGCCTGAAGGTTGGTACCGCCATTTCTGTATGGAATTCCCCAATCGCGCACACACATATATAAATAGCAGTATAGAACTGGTGAGATGTGTAGTTTGGACTTATGCTATGTCCTTCATTTTAAATTACTTGTCGTTTACATTTTTTCTAAATCAAATATATCAACCAACGATATTTTTTTTTAAAAAAATGTGTAGTTTAACCTCATGTGAATTATATATTATTAAAGTATTTCTTGTGGCGAATCTAAAAATATAACAATTATGATGTTAAACTATGAGTTATAGAAATTGATGGACAAATATTAAAATGTTTGACTTATTACAAATTTAAAACGACAAGTGATTCAAAACAGAGAAAGTATCCTATTTGGCGTGACTGCTACCACTTTTTTGCTATTAAATCTCGTATCATTGATGTAGAAAAGTTATGGTTTAAATCATTATATCCGCAGACATTAGTTAAATAACTGACAAAAATAATATACTATATTCATTCCGTCAAATGAATAGCTTTAGCGTGAATTTTTATATCCTGCTTTTAGCGGTACAAAAGATAACACTAATCGACTAAAGCGCCGAGAAAACGCTAAACTAATTCTAAATCTAAGCTCTGAACGAAAAATTTATATAGTAAAAATATGTATCGCCCCCTCGCAAAGAATAACAAAGACGTAACTGCCCCCAGATATGGTTACCAGACGAAACGGAACAGTACGTGCAGGCTAACCATAATGACACAGCCATCGCCTTCCATTTGCGTAATCGTAGAAGTAAAAACGATTTCCTTCTCCTGTCCCCTGACCCTGAGAGGCCGAGGCTGAGTTTAATTGGGTTGGGTTTCCGTTTTGTCAACCTCGCGTCACCGATCGAGAGTGCAAGCGGCCAAACGGCCGATTTGTTGTCGAATCCAAGGTGACGACGTGGTGCCTTTCTTTTTCGGGGAGTTGGTGAGCAGACCACCAGGCAAAGGGAGAGAGAGAGGTTAGGTTAACCTGTTCCTTTGTGTGCGCCGATGATTGGGAGGAGCTCCGTTTCTGAGTTGACCACAAACCTCATCCTGGCTACCTCCTCCGAATGGTTTAGTTTTTACAATTAGCATGTCATCTTCTCACGCTAATCGCGTATAAGAAGGGTAATTTCACCTTCACTTATAAGATACCGGAAGATACTACCATGAAATGAATTGTGTACTCAGGTATACTTTTGTCATTCAAGAAAAAGCAGAGTCCGTGCAGCACAATCAGTGCAGAGTCACAAGAAAAGCACTCGCCAGAAACTGTGCAGCACAAGATTTTGTCATGCACGGAATTTACGGACAGTAGCACTAAAACTACCTTGAATTCCTGCATCCACGACAATTACGTTGTCCGTCCGGGCAGGGCTAGCTCTCGCATATATTTTGATAAGAACCCGACTAAGCATCTACATTGGAGATGACTTAAAAGACGTTCATGCTTCGAGAGTGTGGTTAAGAAACGGACAAATAATCTTTGTTTGCGTTTTTTTTAACCTCTAACAATGGCGTTGACACTCCATCTCTCGGCAAAATGGCTGTCAGCCACCACCGTGGTGGCGAAGAGGACGACGTGGACGGATCACCCTCTTCCTTGCCATGACCAATTGCGATTGCCAAAAAAACAAAAGGTAAAGAGTTGCCATGGGAAGAAGGAACATCCATGGGCCAGGCTACAGCGATGGATGCTCTCCCAGGCAAAACAGCGATATCCATCTCCCAACTTTTTGCACATGAAACACCAGCTAAAAGAATCTTTTCAAGGGGGGTTTAGGAAGTAAAAGGCAATGCATTGACATAACCTGTGGGCTTCGATTCCTCTGAAATAGTGACTGCAACAAGAAAAGTGGCCTTTATAGTCTTGGGGGAGAATCTTGCTAGCTTCTCATGATCACTATAGCTGCAACAAGAAAAGTGCAGGGGTGCTTCCAACTTCAGGAGATTCAGAACTTAATTCTGATGTATGATTCTGATTGGATCGTCATATTTATTTGTATGTTAAGTCCATGGCACTCACAAACTTCAGAGAGTACATTTGAGCTAGCCAGACATCTGGGTGAACAGAAACTGTACCAAGTGGCAAAACATGGGCCTTCAAAAGGCTCTACAACACGCTGATTACATTAAGTTCTGACAGTCCAATGCGCAACTTACATATTAGTAGTTTTTACAGTCCACCCGGAATATGTACTATAACAAGACAAACAATACTAGTCCAGGCATGATGAGAACAAAACATCCAAAGCATCCTCCTGACACCAGATCCTCTTGGTCCTATAATGTACTAACATGCTGACAATTTTGGTGGTCCCTTTGATAGTTCATAATATTTGGACATGTAACTGCAACAAGATTAGGGGGAAAATGAACTTTCATACATTAGTTTTTATTTCCTAAACAGAAGTGCCACAAAATTAACTAAAATGGGAATTATTAAATGCATGTATCGATAAAATAAATAGCACCAGAGGAGGCTTCAGATGGCAAGGAAACAAACATTGCAAATAAGCATAGAGTTCAATCGTGCACCTAAGCAGAGAAATCTAACAAAATACTTATCTTCATTTTATCGTAACACTATCATACCACAATTAAAATAAACCAACAAAAATTAATATTCTTAACAATTTTCCCAAACAAGCTGCCAAGTGCCAAACTAAGCATGTGTTGCGGAGTATCAAGGAATGGGTACTGCAAGGTGACAGGTGAAATTATAAAGGGGTTATAACACCGAGAACAGTTCCATGGACAAATAAAGAACAGAACTTGCTCATCCAGCAAAACACAATCTTTCCATAAGCATCCATCCTATAGTTTTTCCTTCTTGGAGAATATGCAAATTAATTAAGGAGAAAAAAGTTTGTTACATAAATAGGGCGGTTACAAATCCTACTAACTGCAGCAACACTACATCCTGTAGATTAATAGAGAGAAGATCCTAGTATGTCTAATAGTCTATGATTGCACATGTATGTACAGAACCCACTGACTCAATTAAATGTTGTGAACATGGGGCACTATGCAGTACATTGCAGAAAAGAAAAAATGGTTGCACCCAAGGATTACAGGACAGCAAACTAATTAAGAAAAAAATTGTGTAAAGCACTTAATAAGAATATCTGCCTCAACAGTCACCATATGTGTGTCCTGAAATAGTTTACCAGAATTTCCTTGATTGGGGATTTCTCTTCACTGATTTTTCCCTCAAAACTTCTTGTAGCTATCACTAATGAATGCTTTGTGGAATCTTTTCCTCAACGTTTGTGGTGTCTAGAACGCCTTCTGGATCTGTCTTTATCAGATGATCTTCGACTACTGGATTTATGTCTTTCCTCATATTCATGATCACTAGAATCAGTATCAGGATTGCGAGTCCGGTGATGCCTTTTCTCACGGTGTTTCCTCTTAGTATATTGGCTGTCACTGGAATCAGCATAAGGACTTCTACTCCTGCGTGTTCTATGCTTTGAATGTGACTTTCTTTTCTTACTCCTATGATGCTCAATAGAAGAATCAGAACCTGGAGTTCCACTTCGAATTTTATGGCGTGATCTTCTCTCCCTACTCCTATGCTGATCAGAGGTCGAATCTGAATCTAGACTACCACTTTGGGTTTGACGGTGCGAAGAGCGTGACCTGCTTTTCTCAGCTCTATGCTCCTGCTTCTCATATTTCAAACCAAGCTCTTCAACATTATCTGATGGAACATCTGCACTGGCATTGGCAATTTCCTCCTTGTCAAGAGCACTCTCGTTCTCCTTTATTTCCTGACAAGTAATTGCCTTTCTGTTTCTAGATATGCCAATTGCATTAGCTGTTGAAGGTGTTTCTGATCTAAATAAGACATTGGGTGGTGTGGGCTTTTCTGGTGGAACATCCAACCCCAGTTCTTTACCCAATGATTCTAGGAAATCCTCAGCAACAAGACGATTGAGAACCATATTGGCATCTTCACTGGTCTTTACTGGATCCACTGGTTGATTAGCAAGAGGTTCAGCCATATCATCATCTGAATCATCAGAAAAGATAGCCTGCAAGCAACAACAAATACATTGTCAAGACCCACAAGTGTACACTAATAGAAGACAAGGGGAGTAAGTTCATTTTTTTTAGCAGTAGAATTCTCCAAAGACTTATGATATTTTAGAAATGAAATGTTTTTGAAGGACTAATGAGATAGCTGAAGCTTTAACACCTACTACCTCCGTCCTCTAATATAAGGGATATTCACTATTTTCTTGTAACGTTTGACCACTCGTCTTTATTCAAAAAATTTGTGCAAATATAAAAAACGAAAACTTGTGCTTAAAGTACTTTGGATAATAAAGTAAGTCACAAATAAAATAAATAATAATTCCAAAATTTTTTGAATAAGACGAGTGGTCAAACAGTGCAAGCAAAATGTCAAAATCCCTTATATTAGGGAATGGAGGGAGTATTAAAGAATGTGATCGCCACTTCTAGATTCTATACTAAGCAGCAGACGTAATTCAGTCCCTCCATAGTTCCTGTAATAAGATTCTAAAAATAGAACATCTGGTGGCATGGTAACAATCATGAAGGGCCTGTTCACTTTGATGCCATTTTCAACCTTACCAAATTTTGGTAAAGTTACCAAAAAAGTGGCTACATTTAATTTCCTGCCAAATTTTAGTAACTATATAAGAAATCCTGCCAAAATTTTGGCATAGTTGCCAAAATTTGGTAAGGTTTTTTTTGGCATCAAAGTGAACAGGCCCGAAATTCCAACAGAGAATAGAGTACGCTAAAAAAATCATGAAATTTTAAATTAAAGAGAAAATCAAGATCAGTTACTCAAATGAACAAATCCATGTTCTATAACCTGTATACACAAATCTCACAAGTTGTTGAACCAATGTTGTAATTAAATAATTTACTATATTTTTAATTTACAGATCATTTACTTTACTTCTTTCAAAAAATACTATTATCCATTTCTTTGCCATTTCAACATGTAGACATTTATTATACAAGATGAAAAAAAAGCATGAGTACATTCTGTGCCATATAAAAAGTGCCCTTCACTAGCACATGGCATTGCATTTCAGCACATTTGTCAGCCTGCAAATGACATGGTACAATGGTAATACTTCCTAAACTTCTAAACTATAATCGAAGACCAGCATGAGTACAAAGGAGGATGCACTAAATCTACAGAATTATTACTAATTATTTGGGATGCAATGTATACCAAAACAACCAGTTAATTTTCTATCCAATTGTTTAGCGGAGGAACTTGTGTATCGCTTGACAGGAGCCATTAAATGCTCTTAGATCATTTTTAATCTGAGATGAAGTACAATGAGTCATGGACTAAATATGCCATTTTATTGTGATGGGTTACAATTCATTTTAATACAACTTTATGGTGAATGTTACCATTGAGAACATCTATAGGGGACACATGTTACCTTGTAAAGATCAACAGGTCTCTGCACACTGCTGGACTCAATTTCAGGGTCAGTCGCAGCTCCCTTTGCTTCTGTCTCTGTTGCTCCTGCCACAGAAGTATGCTGTGGAGCAATACTCGAACTTTCCACTTCGTTTGTCCTCGTGGTGGATTCTGACATGAAGATAAGGCTGTCCATCTTACTTCTTGGCCTTTGAACATGAAATGGCTGCACATACATAATATATTATCAGTGCCCGATGTCTCATGAATGCTATTTAGAACATGCCAACATGGTAACATGAAGTTCAATTTGAAGCCAGATTAAGGTCTAAACCAAACATAGCAGATGGTAGAAATGGAGAAAACTTGCCAAAGAAAAGTACATTCAATTCATTATAAGAAATAAATTAGTACTGTAAATTCAGCTCTATTTATGGCTGCTATATAAACATTGGGTAAAGTCTATTTATGGCTGCTATATAAACATTGGGTAAAGTATTTTTTTAACCCTGAACTTCAAAACTGATCGTTGTCACCCTCAATTTTCAAAACCAGGCACAAATGAAACCCTAAACAATATTCCGAGGAGGTTTGACTAATCTGATAGTGGTTTTTCACTATCTGAATCTGACTATGTAAATCTCATTGTTATGGAGCGAACTGAGTGACATCTACCTAACCAAAATATGCATAATAAGTCTGTACTAGAAGAAACCACCTTCATTTCAAACAAAACCACTAAGAAATATGATCTAGGTGTTATTTCTCCGGTTTTTAAATTCAATGTGAAATTGACTTTGAGAAGAGTTCAAGGGACAAAATGACTTTCCCAATAAAATAATATTGTGTTCCATTTCCATAAATAATAAATTAACAATATGTTTCGATCAGTTCATTAGGGGTAGTCTGTAGTTGAGTAGATGAAAAAAGAGTCTTCAGGAAAAAAAACACGTAAAGAAGGGAAACTTTGATAGATTCTTACGTCTATTTTATACAAAAACTAGCAGAGCTTGCAAGAGTACAAAATGTTTTTGGTTATACTGTGCAATAATTCTTTTATGTCATTTATCCCAGAGGACATTCTTTCATAAATAAATATAAAACCACAAAAAAAATCATATTTACCTTTCCCATGAAAGGATCAACTATGTCAAAACGCTTGCACAGTATTGGTGATGGTCGCCATTCAAATTCCTCCCTTCGTGGATAAATTGATTTCTCATCTCGTGCAGGTATAGATCTCTGAATTAATTTAACAAGGGTCAATATATGTAAGGTATGAACTTATTAATTGGATTGTATAAGTTAAAATACCTCTGATTCAGTAGATGATACAAAACGTTGCTCATTTATTCCAGATAAACCCAACAATGATAAAGGATCCATAGCCTTTTTTTCCTTGCCCTTTTCAATTGTCTCAGCAGCAGCCTCAAAATCTAGTCTTTCCCGGGCACGGTCAACATCTGACATAGTACTTGTAGGTATAAGATTTGCAGGGCGAAGGCCTCCTTGGTATTTATCCTTAAGAAATTGCTCAAACCTTGCTTGCTTTGCAGGATCATTTCTGAAAGGCTTTTCATACTCTGGTAGGCCGTCCTATTGTTAAACATGAATAATAAATTCGTAATTACACCAAGCTTAGGTGATTCATATAACAAATATAAAGTTAATGTGAGGAAACAATAAATAGTGTAACAAATCAATTCACAAACTTACAAGAGATATTGGCTTCACAAAGTTGTCAGCCAGATTGGACTGCAGTTGAATTGCTTCCTTTGCAGGGAAGGATGAGCTAGATGATTTAGTGCTTCTATCAAGGGGCCTTTCACCAAGAATCTTTCCACGATTTTCAGCAGTCAACTTGTCAGAAGACTTGGATTGCACAGTATCAGGCTTTTGCTGGTCAATATATTTCTGCTGATACTCCCATAACTTCCTTGCATAGTAGCTACAGCCATCTCCTTCATTGAGGAAATTAAACTGTGTATTTGTTTTGCTTTTCTCTTTGTAAAAATCCTCAATATGTTTCCCACAACGAGCAACCATAGCGGCACAACCCTCAATCAATAATCTCAAGCTAGTATCTTCTGGAGCAGGAACCTCAGGAGGAGCCAGATCAGAAAGGTTATTAACATCCTGTCGTGGAGTTAGAAACTTGTGGCGACCATCAAAATCAGATGGGATCTCAGGAGGATCAAATCTGGAAAGTCAAAATGCAACAAAAACTAAACAATTACATGCAACACACATATATAGTGGGTGAAGTACAGAATTGAATCAATCAAAATTGCTGTAGCAATGCTTATTGTTCATTCCTTCTGCAGGTACACATTATTTGGGGGCTTAAACTATCATTGTGTGTTAACACAAACAAGTACATAATAGCTTAATATTAAAAGGTCTAAAGAGGTCAACATATTCATAACTGCAGCTCCATATTTACATATCAAGTTATGGAGACTTGATTCATGTAACACTTAGCTGACAGGTAAATTGGTATAAAAATGTAGAATTCAACTAAATAATTGCCGAACATAGCCGGATAGCACTATGTGATCAGAAAGCACAGAAAAAAAGAACATAAACAGGCCAAAGGATTCAGTTTTGTCCACAATTTAAGCAAGTATGCTCATAAACCAAATTAAAGAATTAAAATGGGAAAAAATCATTTACTGTGAATTAAAAATAAGCATCACCTTTCAAGCTTGTACTCAGAACTTGAGGCGATTTTAAAAGCCAGGAAGACACCTCTTTTCCTGTCTTCAAGTTTATAATTACTATCGCTGGCTGTTTTTGAAGGCTCAATATCAACTTCCATTTGTTCATAAGCAAAACCTGAAGACAAGAGTACAGGTTCAGAACAGAAACTCAGGGAAGAAAATCAAGGGTCAGAAGGCTTTATTCAGCTAAATATGCAATTACAAAGATTAACCCACTACTGCATTTCAGCAGGTACTCGTGCACACGAAACTTCAGTATGCTTCCATCAAGACTTCCCATGTCACAAGGGGTTACAAAATTGACTTGAAGATTATTTTATTACCTGATGCATAAATATCCTCATCTTCAACACCTAGCTCCTCAAGTGCTCCAATCCCAAAGCCAGGAGCATATTGTCCTGCTGATGATCCAAACAATAGATAAGATCTCTTTTTTTTCCAAATATTTAAGCAATGCCAATAGAATAATAAAGGAACAGTCAGGAAGACTATATTTTTTTTCTCACTGAGAAGAAAGGCACCCAAGATATAGTTCAAGATGACTCAAACTTGGGTTTCATGTCAATGGCATCTACAAGCACCTTCCCACTGACTGAGCTAGGGTCAGTTCCCTTAATATCGACAGAAACAGAATAAGATGGTGCAGAAGAAAATTGCTGTGTCGTACAGTTTGAAATCAGAAGACTCCCCCTCATTGAAACATCACTTCTATTACGGTCCCTCGCTGACTTCTGCAATCTTTTCCTATCTACAAATGAACAGATGTGAGATCATGCTACAAAAGAACCATAGTGAGTATCTTGTAGGAATAAGGTACCTTTAAACTCAGGAGCATGCTTGAATGGGTCAAAACCTAACCCATGCAAGTCCTGCTTGGGATGAAGAACGTATACCTAAAGTATTTATGGAATATCAGAAAGATCAGTAGATTTTTATTTCTTCATTGATATAGCTAATTTACCATGCAACACAACCATATGTGTGGAAAATAATTAGCATTTGCATGCACACTTAGCAACCAACTGTAGTCCTTAGTCTATACTTCTTTTATGAGTTATCAATAACTTCTTGTGGTCTTCAAGCTAACATACTCACAATTAATTGAAAAGGAACAGTGTGTTCTTAGGAACTAGAAAAACTATACTTTAAGAATAGCAATTAATATCGGTTTCAATGTCGCCAACTGAAACATGCAAAAGTATACTTTATGCATGGCTACAACATACAAGGTTTCAAAAAACAAGCTAGTTCAAGTTGGAAAAAAAATATACATTAAGTACAACATGATAAACCAGGCAGAAAAATGTATCCATTTTGGACATATGGTGCAAATAACACTTGGTCTACTTAGTACATACAGGGGTATTTCCAGAGGCATGTAACTCCTCAAATGATTCTGTGGCACCATCATCCTTATCAGACTTGTGTGAATCAACTTGTATTTTTTGACCACCAGTTTTTGTACCAGAGAGTGCAAGGAAGGCTTTTCTTGCTTCCCTGCGCGATTCTGCACATCAGCACTAAATATGTAAAAACCAACAATAGTTTAGTAACTTGGAAACAATTGGAACTACAGAACCATTTCAAAAGCACAAACAAAATTTGGGAGAAATAATGTTTCTGGACTAACGATAACTTTTGAAGTCAGATTCTCAGAAGGTATAGCTGTTATTCATGAATGTAGAGTGCAGTATTTAGTGATTTCACTCCAAATGATAGGCTGCTTCGGGTAGGAACGGCAGAAGTTATATGCAAAAAGATTTTTAAAAGAACAGGAGGATCTTTAATAGAGCAGTTTAACAGTCCAAGCTTCAACTGTGAAATGTATACCGTATAAGGAGTCAGCATGTGCATCTCTAATTGAACGACCTTGGCGCCAGCCCATTTTCATCAATAACTTCACTCCTGCTCAAATTATTCGAAACTGTCAATTCATTTCAAATGGTACATATGAATTCTCATCATGGTTTTAATGTTAAAAAACAGAACGTAACTGACCAATAGAAGTAGTAGCAGGGACCACCAGCTCATCAGGAATAGGCCCAGGTATAGCCGATGGTCTGCACATATAGAAGGATGAATATATAAAAACAAGAAAGCCAATTCAAGTATTGTACATTTAGACTACAGTGGCATTTGAGTTATAAGGCTGTAATAACATAAATAGATAAAGAACAAGCAACACTAAAAAACTAGCATGCATATAGCCAACTAAATTCTAGCATACAGCATATCAGATGTGCATAGCTGATTTTGTTGTTCCTTCTTTTTTTTCCTTGATCATTTTCGCATTTTAGGGGAGTTGGATTGGATGTTTCTACATTGAGGCTATTCTCCAGAAAAGCTGATAGGGACCAAGATAATTTTATAAATCATGTGGGTAGTACATTTAATACAAGAGGATAAAACTATCAAACCTCTCTTTCTGCTCCTTGGAAGCTTGCTTTCGGGCATGTTCTGTAGCTGTAAAACCAAATGTATCATACTGCTGAGATGTTTCCAAGGCATTACCTCCCATATCCTGCATGTTTGTCTGAGTTGTTACTACACTGATTCACTTTTTGACATGGAATTTGTGAGGTGAAATAGTTCCACATGATTATAGCTAAGCAGGTCCTTGTGTGATATCAGATCAAGAAGCACAGATACACTATGGTGAGGTTTAACTAACTTTCTACTTTTTAATAACCAGCATGGACTACAAGGGTAAATATCTTTTGCTTATGTGATGCAGCACTAAAGGTACCTTTACAAAAGTATATGTAAGACTGACAATCAATTAGTACCAACTGCTTCAAGAAAAGACATAATATGCTTTTGCACGCTCTTGAACTCACTCCCTAACAATCAAATAAAAATGTACAGAAATTGAAAATTAAAACATAGTTATTTATACACATGTACTACTTACATCGCAAAGCGTTTACTTGACCTCGTAATATACTAAGTTTCTGATGAAATATGATATATCCACTTTTAATGCAAATATTAACAAATAAAATGGCAAGCAGACAACTTGACACAGTTTGTTGCATGTGTTCTGGACAATGCTTCTTATCATTGAATAAAGAAGAGAGCAATGACCACCTTGATAGAACTGCCTAGGACTATGATAACTTGCAAGATACTAGAGGTCACTTCAATTAAAGAATGTCAATCTTTGATTGCTTGTAGGTGGAGAAACCTCCAATGCCTTCCAAAAACCATAAACCATATAACTTCCTATACATTAATATTTCATTGAAAGAAAGGAACTAGGGTACCTCTCAAGCACCATAAAATTCAAAAAGAAAAACAAAAAGAAAAGAAACTGCAGGACTGGATCTATGGCATTGTCAGTTCCCAGCCAGATGGTCAGGACAGGTTTTCCACTAGGCAGTTTCAACAAGCAAAACCTTAAATTTAAAAATTGACTGGTTCCATCCATGTGAAATTAATAATTTAAATATGAAAATCCCAGGGCAGAACTTTCTTCTGTTACAAGATTTAGTTAGATAAAGGCACATACGAGAATGATATGATATACACTATTTTCTTAACTAACGCTCCCATCGGTAGGCCATATGCTGATTATAAGTTGTATGGCTTGTTAGCAACAAAAAAATAATTTGAGTAAAACTTTTATATATGTGTCCTCGGCGGTTTAAAGGCCCATGCTGGAAAATAAACTACGATAAAAGAACACCTCAAAACCAACTTGAAGATTAAGTTTTAAAATTCAAATTTTGGCTGCGGCTTATAAGCTATAGGGAAAAAGATGGGAGTCTAAACGTCAATTACCCAATCAAGGAGCAATATTGCTTACAAGCTCAATTTACTTGTCAAAGGAGGAAGTGTAAAAATTGAAGTGTTTGAATGCACTTATTTCTTCCTCAGTATAATGCGGTTTGTTTGTCGTAGAGACCAACATGTTTATTGGTACAAAATGTAGGTTATTGATTTGAAAGACAAAAGAAAGTCCCATTGTTGCAAATTGCAAAAAGGAAAAAAAAAAGAACATCTCTCCCTAAAATAATGAGCAGTAAAAAAGAAGTTGTGTACCTTTATGTCTTCCTCATCGAGAAAACTGTATATGCTTTGCTTTTTCATCTCAGCCCTATTTTTCCGTGACGATGTAAAAGTCTGTGGAGTCCATCCTGCAGTAAACCATATTAGTTTTGTTACAATATATTGGCATACAATCATCACTGGTACTCTTCCATATTAGAATTACATGACTAACACAACATACCCTCTTTTGTGCCAACGGTATTGTAATAACCAGCTGAGAAACCTCCCGTAAATGCACCATGAAACCTTCTTCGCCCTTCCTCATCTCTCACCTGCAGGCCAATCACCATCTCGATTTTTAAGTAAGCATATTACCACAATTACTTGAAGCAAATCATCTACCGCGTAACTTTATGGCAATGACATATAGAACCACGAAATGTATAGACAGAAGAAGGAAGTTAAGACATATGTACTCCCTCCGTTTTTAAATATTTGACAAACATGTTTGACCATTCGTCTTATTAAAAAAATAAGTAATTATTAATTCTTTTCCTATCATTTGATTTATTGTTAAATATACTTTCATATTACATATAGTTTTACATATTTCACAAAATATTTTGAATAAGAGAACGGTCAAACATGTGCTAAAAAGTCAATGGTGCCAAACATTTAGAAACTGAGGGAGTACAACTTATCACATGCAATACTACCCCAAACCCAAAGATGAAGCGCATATGCGGCCAAATGCATTGCGACTGCCGCGAAACATCAATAGACAAATTCAACGGATAGTATAACCCTAAAAATAGATCAGAAATCGCCTGCCAACTTCCTCCAAAAGCCCCCAAATGCTAAACCAGGAGCAAAAGCGTGTGCCATGGCTCACAGCTGGAATCGACCGAGCAAACCACCACGCGAAACAATCAACGCCGCTTCCGAGGAAAAACACTGAGGGCGCCGAGAGAGCTCTCTACCTCCTGCTTCCAGGCGGGGAGGGCGCGGAGCTGGCCGGCCTCGGCGACGGCCCGGCGCTTGCGTGCGGAGGTGTCCTCCTCCCGCTCGATCGGCGTCCCGTAGACGACGAGATCCTCGTCGTCGTCGTCGAACCCCATGGTGGCGGCCGGGTGGTGGGAACGCCGGCCCGGCGACGGGAAGACCTAGCTCGCCGCGCCGGGTGCGGGCGGCGCGGAGGGGCCGGTGAGGTGGGGGGTGGAGGGTGTTTCTGGAAAGTGGGACGGCGAGGAGACGCGATGGCGATGCGGTGGGGAGAAGCTGTGGGCTCTCCCTCGACCGAGCTAGTAGAGGTGCGGTGATACAGTTTGGGCCGAAATTGGTGGCCCACAAAGGAATTGGTCCATCCTGATCCATCTCTCCCGTCCCAGTAGACCTTATTCGGTTAAGGGAGTGTTCGGTGGGAGTGTCTAGCAAACATTCGAATGATTTTTGTCATCCATCTCACTTAGATTTTTCAACGTCTATCCGGATGACACGTTGCCGAGTGAACGACTTTACTAGTTAATCATTCTAACCGATTGCTCGGTGAAGAAAAAAAAAAAGCCAAGACATCCCTTCATTTTGATTGTCTAGAAAAAACCCGAGATGAATGAATAAATATTACTAATACATCTACTTAAAAAGTTACATGCAGTTACATTATAGTCATATTAGCTACAGTATAATTACAGTATAGTTACACTGCAATTACATAATAGTTACACTACAATTACATAAAAGTTACACTTTAATTATATAAAGTTACGCTGTAATTTCTGGAATTACATAATAGTTACGATGTAAGTTTATCGTTGTAACTCTAATCAATATTTATTGTATATATATTTTTTAGGGAACTATTTTTCAGCATTGCATGCTTGCTCGGTTGGTCGTAGTGGTTCTAGCGGGAAGCGCAGGCCGCGAGATCGATCTCACATGTGGGCATCTGTTTTATATTTTCCCACCTGTACAGCACGAATCTTGACACAAATCCTACGGCCAGAAAATCGACAGATGTGTAACTAAAAATCTGTCGAAAGATTTATAGCAAATCCGGTTAATACCTGATTAAGTTTACTCCTCTCAATCTATAGGATTAAAGGAACAAGGCATGCATTTGGTTTAAAGGGGAGGTGGATGACTAATCTTGACACAAATCCTACGGCCAGAAAATCGACAGATGTGTAACTAAAAATCTGTCGAAAGATTTATAGCAAATCCGTTCGGTTAATACCTGATTAAGTTTACTCCTCTCAATCTATAGGATTAAAGGAACAAGGCATTATAGATCTTGATTTGCAACAAGGGAAAAATAACCAGGGTTGATATTGAGGGTGCATTTGGTTTAAAGGGGAGGTGGATGACTAAGGAAAAAAATTCTCTGTGGCAGTGCCCCGCACTACGCCTCATGTGCGACACCGCGTAGACAGCTGACACGTGTCCAACCTCATACTGCAATGAAGCGCTTTCTTTGGAGCCAAGCCGTCTCCCTCAGCTCGTTAAGACAGGCACCAAGCCACAGCTAACAACTGCTATATTTCAGAAGCAAAAGAGCAGCCAAAACTCTTCAAGACTAGTACGAGCTAATTAGCCCAAACCGTCAGGCTCCAAGATTTCCAGAAGTATTGCACTTCAATATATAGGTTCCTATCTGGACTGGACAGACCATCAGAGTCTCCAGCTCCTCAATTGCCGCTGGCCACTGCTAGCTTTCCTTTCTCTTTTCCTGCATAATAAAAGTTGTGTAACAAGTCACCATTTTCAGCAATATTCAGCAAATTACCACTAAAATTTCCAAAGAGCTTTAATCACACCAGAAATTCAAGAAGATACATTACAAAGACAAGCCACGAATCACCCTTCAAGATCGTTTCAACAAACCTGACATCTTCTTTCATGGTCTGCAGAGAGGAGTGCCAAAGCTATGCGCATGGAGGCGGCAGTGGATCTCAGGGTGGAGAGATGGCTGTGCCCCCGCCAGCGGCTGCGGCGGCCGTGCGACAGGAAGAGGATGGCTCGATGTATTCCTAGACAGGGGGTCAGCGGCTCCCAAAGTTTTCGGCTTGGTTTGTTGTTTTGAGTCTTTCAATACATTGGCTCAACTCTAAAGAAGGCTTGGATGCAGCGGGAGATTGGACATGCGTCAGCTGTCTACACGGTGTCGCACATGAGGCGTGATGCGGCACTGCTGCAGAGATTTTTTTTCCGTGGATGACATATAGCCATTCTTGTTTATTATAGGATGATATATTATTTGGACCGTAGATACAATGGGTTATATATTTTTTTTGTTTGGCTGAAAGGTAATGAGAGTGGATGGTTCTGTCTTATGCTGCACATACCCTTTTCTTCTCCCTACCATGGCCCCAATCATCTTTGGCATTGCTATCACTCGCCCAAAACCTCTACAACAACCATTACCACCAGGAAATAGCTATACATTGGACCCAACACATACGACATGCATCTGACCAGTGTATACAGAAGCACAACTGATGCTTGCATGGGTTTGCCTGGAGAGAAGTCGAAGGCTGTGATTGGTGGATGCGGAATGGCCAGACGTGGGTCGTAAGCATAACAGTACTCTTACCACCCCAAAACCGGTCCTCCACGTTAGCGCCCAATCCACCTCCATGACAATGCTCAAGGGGACGATAGCTAGTCCTCCACATCAACGTCCAAAGTGATGTTGCCCACTCCTCCTTGATGACAGTGACAAGGAAGGCATAAGAATATTGTGTAGGATAACATCGATGAGAGACAACCACTTGTGCCACTAGATTTGACAACTTCACACCTCCCCCCCATCGAATCTAGCCACCATAGTCCTTTTACTTCGACACGTTTTCTCCTATCACTAGAACGGATACCCTCATCTCAATCGGGCGGTAAGCCCAATCTCAATCGGGCACAGCGTCCGTCACAGGCTAGAAGTCACTGATGTGAAGAGTTATCTCAATCGGGCAAACGGCCGTCACGAATGAATATATCTCAATCGGGCCCTAAGTAAAGCCCGTCACAGATAGCTTTGACCCAGAGGACCAGTCAAACTATAGCCCGTCACAGATGACCTATCTCTATTGGGCCACAACTAGTGCCCGTCACAGATGACTACTAACCTTTATCAGGCCTAAACTAGAGCCCGTCACAAATGATACTCATCTCAATCAGGCCTAAACTATAGCCCGTCACAGATGACTACTGACCTCAATCGGGCCTAAACTATAGCCCGTCACAGATGACTACTGACCTCAATCGGGCCTAAACTATAGCCCGTCACAGATGATCTCATCTCAATCGGGCATTTAGTTATGGCCCGTCACAGATGACTATAATACTCAAAAAAAAAATTTGTTTTTTGGCTAGCCTCAGGCCTTTGCTAGCCATGCCCGCTGCAAAAATGACAGAAACAAACACAGATATCCAATATCCCCAACTCCCCAGCATCACCCATTCATATACATATGCATTCACATACACAGACATCAACATATTTCACACAACCACACATTCACAGCCATCTCATATTTCACATCCATTTACATATTTCACATCCATTCAAATATTTATCATGTTTCACCTGCAAAACCGAGTTAATTGGATCAAATATTTATTTAGCAAGTCTTAACATAAACATATGAAATATATACATAAATATAAACATCACAGTTACATCATCACAGTTGCATAATAAGTGTTCATCATTGCCTAAACATAAAAGTTCAACATTGTTCATCATTTTAGTTTAAGCCTAAACATTCCTTTGGGATTAATTATTTCACGGAGGATGAAGCTGGCTATCTCCTCGCGAACCTCCTCAAAGCTGGTAGGCAGAGACTTGGTTATTGTGCCCTACATTGTCATAATTCCAGATTAGTTGATCGATCATATATAAGTACTAAAATGTAGTTAGTCTATCACAATTGAGACCACCGACCTCAAACTCAGCCAAAGTCTTCACCTTTTCTCTATATAGAAGGCGCATGTTGTGGCACACATGGAATCCGCACTGGTCACCTATTTGTTGCTTCACCGGGAAGTCTTTTTTGTGGATGAGGGTGTCATGTCTTGTCTTCCTGAGGCCTCCTCTTTGCATGTATTGGGCCCACGCTTCATCTATCGCTAGTTGAATTGGGGTCCAATCATATGTGTTCTTATCAATTCTGGAGTTCAGGTAGTGACATGTACTCCACTTAGGTGTTATGACCAGAAGGATCCAATGGGCACTGCGGCATTAACATAGTGAAAGTTAATTAAGTACTCAAGGAATGTGTCATGCTGTTGTGTATATTTAGTTAACACACTTACTATTGATTATAGGCGCACATAATGTACTCCTTGTCTCGGCGGGACCACAAGGTGTCGTAGATGTAGTTGACCATTCCTTGATGGTCATTCTGGAGATTTGTGACAGTGACCACTTGTGGATCAAGGAAGGCAACTTCCGGTGCATGCTTCTGACACCATTGCCAACTTAACCTACATACAGGATAAACGATCTTGTAAGCAAGTTAAACTGATTGTTATTACCAGATTGAGTTGGGCGACAATACTTACAAGGAGTAGCACTTAAGGAGGCTTGTGTCCACCGCTCGGAGCCTGTAGAGGTCGAAAAGATCCTTAAAGTCGACCACGATATAATTTGTTGAACCAAGGAATGGCTTTCCATCGTGCTCTCCAAGGATATCGGTAGCTTTACTTGGCTTCCTGGCGTTAAATTTCTCCATGTAGTAGTGAAGGTCCTTGCAAGCGGTTCCCATTGCGGCAAGCACGTCATCTCCAACCAATGGCATGCCTAGTTGGAACTCCTGTGGAGCGACGTATTTCTTCTTGACCTCTTTGCCCTTAGTCTCTTCCTGGCCCTTGCCCAGATCTAGCTTCCTTAGAGCTAGAAGCGAGGCCTGCACCTTTCCTCCCCTTCCTCTCCCCTTTGCTTCAGGTTTATCGAGAGTAATTCTCTGAGGGGAAGAGTGTACCTTCCTGCTCTTCTTCATCGGTGGGGGTTCATGAATCGCCTTGCTGTCGGCCTCCGTTCGGTCCTCCCCAAAATCTGTGTCGTACTGCAACTGCACATCGTAAGATTGTGCATGATGATCTTGAGCAGGAGGGGCTGAAGGAGCAGAGGCGGGTCTCTTTGGTGGACGACCGCCTGGTGCAGTGGTTGGCCTCGCTGTAACCTTGATCTCAATGAGGTCCTTGGGCCATTGGATGAAGGTACCACGGGCATTTCCTAGTGAGAGAACCTCGTCGTTCGATGGATACTTCAGAGGGAACAGC